GGTGATTTATTGTTGACGCCTGTTTTCGTAAATTGATGGTACATTGCTGTCGTACCGAAACTGCCGCTTTGCCTTGCGCCACTCATTTTATGATGGCAGAGAGCAGGGGTGCAGCTGTGAAGAGAGCTAATTATAACTGAGTCCGGTCCCGCCCACAGTACAGGCGTGAACAATGTTCTTGAATCAGATGACAGCGATGCAAAACGCTTCATGACTTTCTCACTCCATATTTGTAGTGAAACTACAATCAATTAAAGGCACAGTTCGCGACCGCAAATTGCGGGAAACGGAACTCAAATAGGCACAAAAAGTGCTAAGTATCTGATTAGCGGAGAAAAGCAGCAGAAAAAGCAGTCCGAAATGTTATAGAGAAAGATAACATAGTGGCTACTAGCTAGCTAGCAGCCGGTGAGGGTCGGCATGGGCCCTAAGGGTGTCCATGGGCCCTAATTTGTCAGCGTAATCTAGCGGAGTTCTTGCCGTTTTTCACATTTTGAAAGTAGCGCAGCCTCAAAATCGCCTTCCGGATCGTCCGACACATTTGAGAGGTCATAGCCTTATTTTATCGCGGAATGTGCCTTTCATATCATAAATTGCCACGGTACCGGAAGGTTGCCAATCATCTGAGAAACGCCATCGGCTCCTCGTTGACATTTGACGACAATAGTCAGAATTGGAAGACCTTCCTCGTCCTCGACAATAACGACTTCACCCTAAAATGAAAAATTCTGCGGCTTTGTTTACCCTACGCGCCCAGTTATCCGGAATCGCGCTCCCAATTTTTTGAACCGAACTTTTTTACTCGCGTGACAGGACGATGGCTAATGTTTTCTAACTAAAGTATTTTGATCATCCTGAATACGAATATCAATCGCTTTGCCCTAAACCTCCTCGCGCCCGCGCTATAGACGGTGGTGATCTGGAGTATTTTAGCGCGGGCGATGTGGCGCGAGCACCAGGAGAGTTCCGTACCGAACGGATGTGATATTCGTGTCTAGGAGGTCAGACTACCCCTGGGAACGAGTTTTCAGCGAATTTGGCGATTTAGGGTATTTTGACGCTGGCGCCAGCAGGTTTCGTGCCGAGCGGATGTGTTATTCATGTTCGGGGTCAAACTACCCCCAGGGATCGAATTTTCGGCCAATTCTGCCACTGAGTTGAAAAACGTGCTTCAAAAATTGGCCCAGATTATCGGATGATTGGGGTACGAAAAGGGTAAAACAGTGATAAACATCTATATGATATGGCTCCCCCGATGGTGGGCCGTAACAAACATTGCTTATTTTTCCTGATATCTACTGCTTTCTAGAGCACAAATTCAAATGTCACTAGTTATCAATCTATCGCGGCCATTACTTATCGGCCAACCTAATACATCAGCTGGCCCCGCAAGTCATTGTATAGGCCACATCGCATTCAATAAGCCACTACGATTCTGAATGGAAGTAGAATGCCGCATCCCACAAAGGGATTGATCAACGGCAAAGTTTTATCCTTCGTGGATCAGCAGGCGCCCTTTTTCCACCAATGACGCCATCCTGAGCTCACCACTACTAGTGGGAAACGTCGTCAGGCTATGCTCCTAGCCATACCCTCGTCAGACGCTCTATCGTTTGCATTGATCATGACTGTATTCGAAATTGTTCGGCGAAGCTGGTTGTGCACTTGCACCCCCGCGACTACCGCTGTATATGGGCAGTGCCGCTGGCCCGATTTCTCAAGGAAGGTAAAACGCTTAGAAAATTGACAGATAGTGGCAAGTGGGATGAGAAAGGGATCGCACTGGATGAGGAAACTTGGGGGTGGTAGTGGGAATTTTGAACACTGACACCGCGTCTCAGATCTCTCCAGTGCTGTATCCTGGACTACAGCCCGTAGGAAACTAAATAGTGTCACGACGGACAAGACGAGTGCACAAGAACACAGGCGTCTGCTCGGTATTGACAGTTGCCATTACATGTGATCTATTTACAGGCAAAATAGATTACAGATATATTACAGCAAAAACCGGATTCCGAATCCGACCGGTGGCTGGCTACCTTTCGGCACGCGACTTCCTGGCTGGTCTTGCATATCGAGTGTTCTTCTGCACTCAGTATCTGCGACATCATGCTGACCCTCTCTACACACCTGAGCCGTGAGTCAAACCAAACCTCATTTTCTTCTCAGAACTTCACGAACTTTAAAAATCGATCCAATAACAAAGTGATAGCGCTGTGCCCTAGCACAATATTCTTCACCTTCCTGTCCACACAACGATTTGAAGATGATTCCCGCGATCGGGTGGTCTGCTGGGTACCTCCGGTATTTGGCATCGTTAACCGCATTCGCAGAGAATATACCACTTTCGTCACTCGAAACGGCGAGATAAAGAAGCTAGAGACGCGTGATTATTGCAACCATTGCAACCACGATTACTTTCACTCTGCAAGACAACGGCTTACAAGCGGAATTGCACGTGTGGCGTTGTCTGGAACGTCGTAGGATGATTTCGTATGCTCTTGCCGGGAATCGGTTGCACGTCAAATCCTACTGTGAGCTTGCTGACGTCCCGTTGACCCGTTCAAGGCGCCGGCCCCACTGCTAAGGAATCTCTGTTCAAAGTATTCCCAGAGTTTTTTTTTGCTTCTTTCTCTACTGGGGAGTTACTTGTGGGCTACTGGCTCAATTGAGCACCTTCTACCCGTGAAACTTGGTCGCGGTGATTGTATAATTAACGAGCTCTACTTTTTGGAATACTCTTCAGACATACCTAATTTGAGCAAGCAAAGTTTTTAAGTGCAATTTCGAACAGAACTATGACTTGATCTAAGTTTTTTTCGCTACTCTACTTGTGATTTTTGCTATCTTTAAAATCATATTCAGGGATACTGTACACGAGCTGATGGGTCATATGGCATTATTCGCGGATCCTGACTTCGCTCAGTTTTCCCAGGAGATTGGCCTTGCCTCTCTGGGTGCAAGCGATGATGACCTGAAAAAACTTGCTACGGTAAGTGGAGGAATACTTGTAAGCACGGCGGAAAGAAACGAAGAAGCCTCGTTTCTTCATCCAATCGCCCATGAAACAAAATAAGTAAACACGTTAAGGAGGCTTCATTTACGTCCTGAGTCCGCCCTTACCTATCTGTCCCTTGGAATAGACTTTTACGGTGCTAATTACCACGGTTCAATCCGGCAATCTTACTTTGGAATCAGAATGTATACCATCGCTCTGCAATGCCGTTCAAGGCCGATATTTTTGTTTTTAAGAGAATAGCGTCATATTACCCTCGGGACCATTTTCCTTATTACTATACCTGTCATAGAGATTAGGTTCAGGGTGAGCGGTCGACTTCCAGGAGTGGTAATTCAATTTCAATATCATTATCGCCATTCGTTCTCGTTCCACACAGGACGCCTTTTGAATACATCCATCCCCTTGCGAACTTACTTCCTAAAACTGGTGTAGCTACTGTAACTGTAGTACAAAAGCTCCGAATCAATTGAATGTAAACTTATTTCGAAGCTTTATAGCTCTACTTCTTCTCCATTGAATTCGGTTTGTGTTCTGATGGGCACTCCGACTACACGGCTAACGACACAAACTCGAAATACAAAATCTATGGAGCAGGACTGTTGAGCAGCGCAGGGGAGCTGCAGGTGAGTCATCATTTTCAGTACTTGTGATTAACTGCTCCATCTGAAAGCCGTCATCGGACTGTGTGAAAGTAGTTGGGGGTGGGTGCCATGCTGCAGCAGAGTACAGTATCATGATGTGTGAAATGGCGGTGTCAGTACGCGCCCCCCTCCCCACAGAAAAGGGTCCTGGTACGACCTCCACCCATTACGGCTCTAACTGTTTGCTATGAAAAGAAGCGATTAGAAACGTAACGACTCACAAGAGCTAGCGGCTGCGTTATGATTCCATGGCAAATTAGGGTGGGGCACATGTGTTGCCCGGTGGGCTTTTCGGGGTGCTAGCTTTTTTTGGATGTGGGGCTTCTGAGAAACGGAAGGCGGCAATGTTGAATCAACGTCTCTACTGTAAAGATTACCTATCCGCGATCTGTATCTTCCCCCGTTCGTGAAATATTTCGGATGGGTTACCGACGCGTTAAATACAGTCCTCATCATTGCGGACCGGTGGGGCGTGTCAGCCAGTATGAGTGTGCACACTGTTGAAGCCGTTCTCAGCCTTTTCGTTGAAACGCGTATGCGACAAAAGTGGTAGAAAACGAGTAATACGAAGGATGTAATACAGTAATGTCAT